AGAGAGAGAGAGAGAGAGAGAGAGAGAGAGAGAGCAAATGGGAACGGAGGGGTAGAGAAGGCGTCGAGAGCGCCGGGAGGCTGTGAGCGGGGAAGGGAGAAATTGAGGGTGGTGGCTACTCGGGTGACGGGGAGGGTGGATGGAGGCAGCAGTGCCGAGGCGGAGGCATCACAGGTACCGCAGGCCTGCAGGTACCGCAGTAAGCGGAATGGTAGAAGAGCTTAACTCGAAACCGGAATAAAAACTGAGTAAGTCATGAGAAGCCAGGGTGAGTGAAAGAGTGAGTGATAATAGTGATAATAGAGAGTGAGAGTGAGTGAGGGTGAGAGAGTGAATGAGAATTAGAGAGGGAGAGATAGTGAGAGCGAGGGACTGAATGAGGGTTAGAGAGTGAGAGAGAGGGAGAGAGGGGGTAGAGAGAGGGAGAGAGAGAAAGATGAGTAGTCCCGCTATCAGATACATGAACGTGGGTGATGTAGCAATACAAGTTGTAGAAGAAATAGAGAAGTTGCACAATCTAAACAATTGTCAAATCTAGGTAACTAGCAAGCTACAAAATATTGAAAATACTGCGATTTTCATGTACAGGGAAGTAATAATAAATAAATAATAATTAATAAATTAATGATAAGTGCAGAGAGTTATCAAAAGAAATTAAAATACTTAGTCTTAAAGACACGCTTCTGCAGTTCTTCTGTGGTTAATTTGTGTTAAGAATAAATAATATTAAATTATAATAATGGATGATAATAAGTATTATCATTTCTGCAGTTTTAGGTCCTACTCTCCAAATATATTTTCTTTTTCAAGATAAAAAAGATAGGGTTGGGGTGGACACAAAACAATAACGAGAGATCAAGGAAAATTTTCGAAATCGGGTAATTGTGCATATTTTGATGCAGAGTGGAGAGCAAGGAACGCAACCTGAAAGTACGAGTTCGATGCATGGGATTAGCTTGAAGGGTTCTGAAACCACAATGTGCAAAGGGGTGACTCGTTGATTCGCAGCAACGGCATCAAGTGGCAGTCGAAAGGCGGACGAAAGCGGCAGGGGTGATAAACCTTCCTTCGCGGTTGGCAACACAGGTGTGCGCTTCACTGCAGCGCAAGTGCACAGCCTTCGTCGCTTGCGCCCTCCGCACCAAGCGCCCTGCCGGCTCCGCAGCTCAATGGCCCTCCTCCCCTCTTCACGTCTCACGTCTCATGCGAACCCTGCGGTGCTCGTCAATGCCCCTACACATCACGCACCTGAAGGGGACAGAAAATTCGTGCTTTTGGAGAGGAACGTGGAATATAAGGGAAGTTTCTCTTAGAAACAATCATTACTTTAGTTTGAAAAGGCATTTCATGAATGAAAATTATATATTCAAAAAAATATTATTCATTTTATATCATACCATTTGAAATTTCGTTTTAATATTACAAGGCAAAGGATTGTTGAGGTTACTGTAAACTGTGTATTAAAATGCAGCTAAACTAATACACCTTCCAATTTAAACATGTATTTAAGTAGGTAAATAAATTTGTTTTTTATATGTGTTACGATTTTTACATAACTAAATGGTTTACCTCAAAAGTATTTTTTCCGTCCTTTAGTACACAATAAAGAAGGGTTATCTTCATCAAATGCTCTTTGCCTGCCATCAAGCCAGAAGAGAGCGCAGATGAAAGGCGTCGCAAATGGCGAAGGAAGCGCCGTCGAGAGGATCAAGAAGTGAGCATTGTGATGTGGGGTAGGAGAGGCCCTTCCCAGAGAACAAAGGGTGGAAACAAAGAACAAGAGGAGCGTCTACAAGGTAACCGGAAGGGACAATCAAGCAGCAGGAAATTATTGACAATAGGCGTCACACCAAGTACTTAAGAAAAAAGACAACAGAAGACGTATATAGCAATATGGCAGTAGTAAGAAAATTCCTTAACGAGACGCGAGTCAATAGCAGAGTACGGGGCGACAGAGCTGACACCTTAGTGGCAAGTTGTTATCGACAGCGATTTAATGAGCATCGGCATGAAAACGAGAATAGCCAGGAAGTGAACTTAATTAGCGCGGAATAAAATAATTAAGGACGGGTAGGAGAGGATAGATGTAGAAGAGCGTTGTGGTACCGCATACACAAGAATTTTAAGTGTGCAGAGTGAACTCTCAAAACTGACGATAAAAATTTCTTGATATGTAAATTAAAAAGGTGGAACGCATGATCATTACCAGAGGACGTAAATGATTATTGAAATGTTAATGTAAGAAAATAAGTTCAACTTTTCGTTCTCAGATTTAAACATTCAAACACACTATGAAACAGCAGTATTATGAAAGTCTTTTGTTTTCTTGGGTAAATAATTATTTATACTATTCTCAGAAATCTTCGCAGGTAACGTGGCGGAGTTATTTGATATACGATCCCCGAGGCATGTCATTAGTAACGATGTGAAGAGACTTTGGAACTCGTGGTCTAAAGTAAGTATTATTATATTTTTAACTTCTGATTAGCACACCGCAACCTTTATTTAATATTTATTTGATGAGATGGCTGGAAATTTAAAAAACATTAATGTACGGGATGCCTGGAAATGACATTTACATCTTCGCATTCTTGTTTGCTGATGACTAGGTAATACTTTGTAAATTGGAATAAGAATATCACATGTGGGGATTAAATGTCAAATTTTTAATACTTTATTCATGGGTGGTAATAAATGTACTTAAGATTTAGTTTTGGATGATGAGAAAGGACGTATTAAAGAATGCGATATGTTTGAATATTTACGAATCAAAGATAATAAGGATGTTAGTTAAGACGGAAATATCAGACATTAAATAACTAAATAACTTCAATGTTAAATGGAATTTTGTGGGGCAGATAAATTTCGAAATAAAGAAAATTAATATATAAATTATAATAATAAAATATTGAGACTTAGAAGGCAGAAACATGGAAATTAGTCAGAATGATATAAAAAAATTATTAGAACTGGAGATGAAATTTATGAGAAGAGCGTCAATCTAAATTGCGCAGAATAAGAAATGCGATTATACGCTAATATGAATAAGAGACTTACATTTCATTATACGTAAACAATTACAATGGTATGGACTTGAGAAACGAATAATATGCATATAAGAAACGAATGGAGGAAAGCAGGTAACCAAGAAACGTTTAGAATGGTTTCCAGGGGAAACGAGGTGTATCCACACATACGTGATTGGAAGAAATTACACAAAATTTAGAAAATACAGAACACGGTTTTTGACGATGAATTAAATTGAAAGAATCTTATTGAAAATATGCATTAAATATTTTATTTGAAATAATAAGGTTCTGCATGCATGTAATGTACTACACTGAGATTTGTAAGTAAATAAATAAAACAAAGATGGAAGAATGAAGGCCCGGGTTGCCGCTGGCTCGAAAGGCAACGCGCCCGCCGCACGTGGCGGCCGGGAGCTGCCTTCGGAGAGCCAGAGCCGCAGCGGGGCTTGGGGAGGCGTCGTGGCAACGCTCAAGAGCGGCAGTGCGCAGGCGGGGGAGGGGGGAGGAGGAATGTGGCGGAGCGGCCGTAAAGCCGAAATGAGCGATCCGTTTAGACGCCGGCGCGGCGGCGGCGGCGGTGGCAGGTGAGGGGGCGGGGCGGCGGCTTGGTAATCGCGTAATCTGCGCGCGGGGAACGACTCCGCACCGCGCCAGCCACCTCCCGGCCGCCGTTTCCAGGGGCGAAGGGCCGCGGCGAGCGCGCGCGCCCCGAGAGAACGCTCGTTCTCGTCGGCGGAGGGCGATTAGTGAAATAAGCGGCTTGATGTGCCCGCGCTTATGTGGAGTGATAACGATGAATACAATCGCTGAGATAACACCCAGGCTAAAGTAGGTGCATGGAATTTGAAGCACCTCTTTCGCACGATTGTGGCCGTCACGACCCAGTAAATTTAGTTATTGGGTCGTATTGTTATTCCAAACTATATTAGGAGGGTATTTTCTCGTCAAGGACTTTGTCTTGACTGACATATTTCTGAGAAGTGCCATTGTCATCTTGCTGTGCGAGTGTTCAAATTGACTTTCAAATAGTGTTAAATTCACGAGTGACTTAAAACATCAGGTAGCAAACCAGGTAGCTCACACAAAACATTCCCTTATTCGACTTTGACAAAACATTAACTCTTCCGTAATTTAATGTAATTACAAATCTGATGCGTTACAAACAATTTTCTAAGACCATTTGTCGAAACTAACTTAAATGTGATAAATATAATTTGTCTCATTCAATAACAAATTCAATAACAAATATGATTTTTATCTCTAAGTAAATTTTTTGCAATTAATGGTTTTAGAATAAATATTTCTAATGAAATGAAATATTCCAAAACATCAAATGTATCATGTTAATGCTACGATCCATTACGCAAGGTTAAAATGACTCAGCATTTTATATGAGGTTTCGCCAACATGACAGACCTCCGAGTTCAGAAACAACCGGCTGATGGGCAACACAAGAGCCCGCCGCGACTCCCAGTTTCTCTCAAACCGGAGTTTCTGACGTATCTCGGAGGGTCGTAAAACCACGCGGAAACGCGTCGCGACGGCAGAAAAAGAAATATAACACTTCGGAGAGCGAACACGTGATCGCAACGGATCGCCAGGGACGTAAAGCGGAGCGCCGAAGCTCAGCAAAGAATCCACCAAAGAGAGCTTTGCGTTCACTACCCACCTGCCAAGCGCTTCGTCGCAAAGAAGAAGGAAGGGGAAGAAGGGCCAAAGAAGTATTAGACCCATAAAAGAAGAATTACGAACAGAGTGGTCAAAAAAATATGTGAAGTAGTTCACAAAAAGATACATTGGCATAAGGCTCCGACACTGAGTGACGTATGTCAAAAACGGAAGTAAGGAAAAGTTCATTAAGTAGTGCATTATCTTTGTAAAATGAGGACGTCAGTATTAATGAAGTGTGAATAAAATGCTAGATTTGCATCGGGACCTTCGACGTGCAGTTGATATGCTGCAGATATTTCTTGTAAGGCTCTGTCTGTATAAGATGATAAAAAGTGCCCCTGCTTGAAATTGAAAAGACAATCTTTCCTAAGGATTGTGACCGCGAAAAACAATTTTTTTCATGGACGTTTTAGATTTCCCCCTCATATTCTTCATAATAATGAAAAACGTGTTTATTTTATTATTTTGTTTTATTATTTTATTTTATTGATTTGGCCATATGAATTTCCATGAAAATTCTTTCTTTTTAATTTCTTCAGTTTTTCAAAAATAATTTTTAAAATTTTATTTACCGAGAAATTCAAACTTTTGAATCGAATTAAAACTGATTTTTTAAAGAAAGTTTTTATGCCGCCGGATACACAAGAAAATTCTTAAATATAAAAAATATTGCTCTAAAATGAGGCTTTATTTTTCTAATTGGTGCGCTACGTTTAAAAAAATTAATATACACATTTTTATTATTATTTTTTCATATATATATATAGAACTATATAGACGTATGTAATTACAATTTTTTTCTAGTGACAATATTTGCAATATTAAAAGGATGATAACAATATATATATATATATATATATATATATGAAACTTTTAAAAAATTGTTCACCATCTGGTGCGGTTATATCTAACGGTCGAATTATGATTGAAAATAGTTATTTATGTAACAAGTCCTCTTAATTAGTCTTAAAGGCCTAGTCCTTAAAGACTAATAGAGGACGTGTTGCATACAATGTTTTTTGTTACTTATATTTATTCTAGTTCTTCCAAATAAATGTTTAACAGTTTGATTTATAAATTATCATTACTCGTGATGTTCCGTAGCAAGTGGTGTTGCTACAGGGTTTGTACCGTTTTTTAAAAACAATCAAAGTGCTCGGAAGGACCAAAACAACAACGGAAGACAAATGGGAACAAGTGAGACCGCGAGAAAAGGAGGTCGAAGAGGGAAAGGGGACAAAATTGACGAAATTAGAAGAAGGAGAAGGGACAAAATGGAGAAAGGGGGATAAATTGAACAATCGGAATTGCATACACGTGCAACGACGAATACGTTTTCTGTTTAAGAAAAGCCTTGTCGAGTGAGGTGAACTTGGGCGGTGGCGGAGCAGCACATTGTGGGAGACTTCAGAGCGCGTGCAGTGCCATCGTCACTGCGCGTGGTGTGCCGAGGCGGGCGCGTGGGGTCGCTATTCAGACGAGGTCGGCCGGGAGCCGGCCGGCCGGTGAGGCTGAGGGGGAGGGGCGCGAGTGCCGGGGCG